TAAATTATCGTGGAACTCGGCAATCTCAGATCTCGTTATCAGGTCGGTGTCATCTGTCAGGTTCACGGCCAAGCGCGACACCCCCTCTCTCAGCTGCCTCTTTAAACTGTCAAAGTTTGCCCTTCTGAAATCTGGTACTTTAGTGGAATTTTCCTTACGTCTGCCCTGAAAATCTAACTGGAATCGAATTTCTTTGTGATCGCTGTTTGCAAGTTCGTTCCCTACCTCGACATTGCTAATGAGGTTTTCTCTGTTCGTCAGAACTAAATCCAGTATATTATTACCCCGTGTGGGTTCGGTTATATGTTGACTTAGGAAACAGTCCTGGATCGTCTCGAGAAAATCCTCTGATTCTGAGTTACCCGTAAGGACAGTCCAATCTATTTGGCCAAGGTTAAAGTCGCCTACTATACAGACTTTGTTGTGTATGGAAGCCCTGCGCATTTCATCCCAGATAAGTCGCTCATTGACGCTATCAAGATTGGGGGGTCTATATATTACCCCTGTGATTAATTTTTCCCGACCGTCGCTTAATTCTATCCAAATTGTTTCTGTATTCCTCTCAGTTTTTATTTCCTTATTTATTTCACACTTCAGATTATCCCTAACATAGATTGCTACTCCGCCTCCTTTCCTGGTCTGCCTATCGGTATGGAACAGTTTGTAACCCGCAATTTGGTATTCGACTGGTAATTCACGTGTGTCTAGGTTGATCCATGTTTCAGTGAATGCAATTATATCGATTTCTTCGGTACATACCAAGGCCTTAATATCATCCATTTTGTTTCTCATACTTCTACTGTTCGCGTAGTATACATTTAAGTTAGTCGTGTTCTGAGTCCTTCCCTTACCGCGTTTAGTTTTAAACTCCCTGTCTAATTTAGTTTTGTCATCATTCCTAACACTATTTCCCTGTAATCTTTCGCCTTGTTTACCCGCTCCCACTGCAGTCTCCTCCACCCCCGTGCTCCTATGTTCTCTTAGCAGTTTAAAGACTTCGATATCTTTTGAACTGCCCCCTCTAGAGCCCCAGCCAGGGTTGCTACTCCATCCCTAGACAGGTGCACCCCATCCCTAGCATAAAGGTCCCTTCTGCCATAGAAGTTGTCCCAGTTGTCAATGAATGGGACTGATATTGACTTGCAATATCTGTCAAGACGGTCGTTAACACCAACTGCCCTTGACAACCATTCACTGCCAACTCTCCTTCTAGGCAGGACACCGCATATGATAGGGATCCCTCCCTTAGTCCTAATACGATCTATGGCTGCCTTGAACTTATCAAGAAGTTCCTCGCTCCTACACCCGCCAATATCATTGCCTCCTGCACTGAGGCAGATAATGGGTTTGTTCCCATTACCAGACAAGATATTGTCCATCCTGTCAACTATATCCCCCACCCCAGCCCCTGGCAAACACACCCTCATCCTATTTTTTTTTTTACCACAAAAGGCCCTGTCCATGTACCTTACCTGTGAGTCACCAACAATTAAAGTTTTTATACCTTCCTTGTCAGTCCTGTCCCTGACTGTACTATCGTCCAATTCGTCTATCAAGGGACTGAACGGGTTGGTACACTTAGCTGTTGTTGTCGTATTCTTTGAGTGCTTCTTGACCACCAGCTTGGTCCTCCCTCTACTCACGACTTTCCACTCGTTTGATTTTTCGTCAGACACTGGCTTTACTCGTCCAGCCTCTCCTTTTAACTTCGCCAGCTCTTTCCTTAATTTCAGGTTCTCCAACGTGGCCCTCTCAATTTCTAACTTGGCCCTCGCCAATTCTTCAGTGGACCACTCCAGTTTGGTCAACAAACTCTCATACCCAAGACCGCACATATCACTGGCCATATCACAAATACACACACACACACACACAACAAACACATTGTTTACTTGGCTTAAGATTCCTACTTATCATTACTCCTAAATCTTTCTAGCAGTCGGATTTCTCTATAACATCATTGTTCATCTGGTATCTAGTTTCTCTGTTTACATCTCCTAAACTGAGTACTTTACATTTGTCTACATTGAATTTCATCTGCCATATTTCAGACCACTCTAAAATTTTTTTAGATCTTCCAGTAGTTTTGCGGAGTCCTCTTTAGATTAAATTACACGCCCTATTTTAGTGCCATCAGCAAACTTACTTATGTTGCTGTTTACGCCGATATTTATGTCATTTACGTATAAAATAAATAGTAATGGTCCAAATACTGAGCCTTGGAGTACTCCATTAGTGAAGTAGCTCCAATCGGATTTAGTGCCATTAATGCTCACTCGCTGTTTCCTGTCCTGTCCTGTAACCACGCACTAAACCATTTTAGAATATCTCCTTTAATGCCATGAGCCTCCACTTTTCTTATTAGTCTTTCGTTGGGGACTGTGTCGAAGGTTTTGCTAAAGTCAAAATATACCACATCATAATTGTGCCCCTCGTCTACTGATTCAAAAACAACTGAAAAGAATGTTAATAGATTAGTTAGACATGAACGCCCGCTTGTGATGCCATGTTGGGAATCATTGACCATCTTGTGCTTCTCTAGGTGATTTCGAATAAAGTTTGAGATGACTGCTTCCAGTAATTTGCCTACAATTGATGTAAAACTGATTGGACGGTAGTGATCTATCTCCCTTCTTGAAAATCGGACTTACGTGCGCTATCTTCCAGGATTTTTGTACTATACCCGTTTTTAAGGACATGTTAAACAACTTTGCTAAGGGCATACTAACCTGGTGATTTATTCGGCTTTAGTTTGTCTATTTGCTTACTAATAACGTTACTAGTCACTACTATCTCGCTTAATTTTTTCTTCACTATCTCTTTATATACTGTAGTCGGTGCCTCGGGTATCATGTTAAATTTTCGGCGGTGAAAACTCTTGAAAAATATTTATTAAGATTATAGCTCATGTCTCCGTCGTTATCAGTTATCTCGCCGGTATCTGACTGTATTGGTCCAATCTCGCCGGTATCTGACTGTATGTGTGTGTGTGTACGCCGATAACAACATAGGAAAAATAAATCATGAAGTTCCCAAGTCCCTCCGTGTAATTCACATCTTCAGGAGTGAAAAAAAGGTTCAGTGAAAGGACAAGTGGATGGAAGTGAGTAGTAGGAGTAGAAATAGGTGCCGTGGCTTAACACAGCATGCCTGATTGTTAAAGGATTGTAGTACAGACTACTAGCATCACGACTGACGCGACAAGACTCACACTGCCGTAGCTCGAACCCAGAACTCTGTTAGGCCCCGTCCAGTAGAAAAGGAAGAAGTAGAGATGTTTGGTGACAGATGAAGGTACAGTCTTTGAGCTCATGCCAAACTTGGAACAAAGCTATTTGGAGAGGAAGAGTATTGAATTTCTGAAAATGAAATATCAGAGAGGGTATCGTCGTAGAATTTTTAAGAAGAAAGCGAACCTCGGATGAACTTCACTGGTTACGATATTACTATTGCATCGTCGGGGTTTCAGTGGTGAGAGGAGAATATCTGAATTCAGAGCGGCTTGATATGGTGTACATGGATTGTTCTCAGGCCGCCCAGGTGCAGATGTAGGAGTGCTATTGTTGTTGATTGCGAGTTTTAGTATCGTGGGGGTGGGTATGGTGTATTGGATCTGTTTAGTATGGAGGGGTTTCTGTTTCTGTATCTGCAGTGAATTATGAGGTCGTCAAAGTATTCCTGCTGTAAGGGCCTGGGACTTAGGGATAGAAATCCCTTGCCAGCCTAATGAGGATCTTAAAAGAGGAAAGTCAAGAACCATGGTTTTCCGAGAGATAACAAACAACCGATAGAGATTGACATCTCTTTACTATGAAAATAACACAAAAACAGACACCACTCACACAAATATCAAATAACAATTACGGGAGTCAAACAATTAAAGAAGTCACACAATTAAGTGAATCAAACAATTACGGGATTCAAACAATTAAGGGAGTCAAATAATTACGGGAGTCAACAATTAATGGAGTCAAACAATTAAGGGGAGTCAAACAATTGCGAGAATCAAATAATTTACAGGATTTTTCCTACGGCGACAGCCCGGAGGAAGGTTCTGGTAAAGTGGTGATCCGCTCCCAGCTCTCAAGAGGTGGAGCGGGGGAAGGTCCAGAGCAGCTTCCTTACTTGGAGCCGGCGGGCGAGGGATCTTGTCACACAGGAGAGACGCCAGGGCACGTACGGGAAATAGGGCGTGGAGGAAGTGGCAATGATGTGGCAACCGCTGTAGTAGCCGGGGTAGGTATCCGGAGCCGTATTGTGAAGGTCTGGGGAATCAGCCCATGAGTCCAAGACCTCAGATGAGAACACAACCAGAATTTGAATGAGCAGCGAGGAAGTGCAGCTGTGGTGCTGGCTGGGTAGTGTCTAATGTGTGCCGAGGCCACAGTGTCGTTCTCACCTCCGTCTACCCCCCCCCCAAGTGGGGGACGCTAACAAGCAAACAAGTGGCGGGCAACCATCCTGCTCGTTACAGCCCTGACACCTGCCATTGTGGGTGTATGTTAGGAGCTTTTCTATACTTTTGTCACCTAACTGTCTCCAGCATATGTTGAGAGGAAGAATGTTGCTGTGTTCATGTAAGTGTTCGTTTGTCATGAATGATGTCCAGTGTGTGTCGTGCATGAACCTCAGTACTTTATTCTGTATGACTTGTAGTTTCTTTATATTTGTTGGTGGTGTTAACTGGAGTGCGTTGGGTGCGTATGTTAAAAGGAGGCATATACTGTAAGTGCTTTGTAAAAGTGTGTTTTTGTTTTTGTTGTTGAACTTTTGAATCTTTGTATGCCTGTGAGTGCCTTTTGTGCTATTGCTGTCTTGATGATGTTAATAACAAGGCCAAGATATACAATAAAGGAGAGTGAAATCAAGTCGGTAGGGAAATTAGATGTTAACCATATTCAAGTCACTAAGTAGTGACTCAACCCTTTTACTTGGTTACAAATATTCTTATTGACAAAATTATCCAATTTGTTTTATTCATAAGCCTTACTTTCGTCAGGGGTTTCTTCCCGCAGCAAGATGACCAAGTTCGACGAGCTCCTCACTCAGTTGGGGACTGGCAAGTGGAACCTGATCTATTTCATCAGCTCCGGCTACTGTAAGTCTTTCACTCTTCTAGTGATATTTTTTTTTTTAACTTTTATGTTCCTGGTTGGTATTGGTGTTTTGGTAATAATGATTGTTTTCTATAAATTTCTCGTCGCCTGTCAACATTTTACAGAATTCTTGAAAAATCACCAGTGTTAAAAGTAGTACTAAGAACGGGGCCACTAAACCACTAATATATCAGAGGGCATGACCTAAAAAATATAACCTAACCTAAACTAAACCACCTTAGAGAATTCAAAGGACTCAAACTAACCTCATGAAACCTAACCAAAATTACTACACGTAACTACAGAATCACTAGGTCTGGTTGGGTCAGGTACAATTACATAATAAATTACATTTAGTCCTTCCGTGTCGAACAATATGACACATCGGCGAAAAATCCATACAAAGCTCTCGCATTTGGGTTCACATTGGTAGACCTGCTCTCTTCATGCTGGGAATATGTGAAGCTACCAGTGACACTATTCCTGTCACTTGTCGTAATGCAATTTGCTTTTCTGTATAATCCTATGTTTCGAATTATGATTCCAATATTTCGAAAAATAATGATAAGGGAAAAGACGTAGCAATCACGAACTAAGGGTAAAAGTAGTTTATGGTTTGGCTACACTTACAATCACATGCTGTCTGCTATCTTGTTATCATTGTCCCCTTCCCATCCCCCTAGTCTCATCAGTTAAACCTAACAGTGGCTACAACAACCTATGACGTGTACGAGCATAGACAAGTTTCTCAAATCTAAACCAAACCGAACCTTGGTAGTTTATCCCAGGACACAACAGTGATCACTACCCTCATATATATTTCCTCGCCTGGGTGGTTCTATTCCTGTTCAGCTATCCATATACTGTTCTAAAACGAATGCATGTAATCTCTCCCGAATCCTCACTAAACCCTGTCTTTAATATCCAACCTTCCATGACAAGACTTGTGCGATTGTATTATAAATATTATACTCATCCATTTCTGACTCTAGTAGTCTTATGGTTGTTTTGTGCAACTGCTGGTTTGTATATAAACGGTCTATTGTCTCTCATACTTCACTTAATGTTTATATGTAGCCTAAGCAGTATGGATCTCTGTCTCAGGTTCCCCTTAACTCTTTCTTATCTAACTTAGGTAGATCGGCAGTCTGCATATATATCACTTTGAGTCAGATTTCCTGGTAGTGCACATGCTTATCATATTACACACACACACACACACACACACACACACACACTATTACCCAATCAATCAATCTGAGTAACGTCAACATATCTGAGTGTTGGCAACCACAGTCCTCCACTCCAAAAGTTCTCGGGCTGTTTTTACCAATCTTCCAAGGTTTTGTATCTCTCTTGGTACCCAGTTTTTAATTCCATTCATCCATTTCAGTCTCTGCCTTCTCCTGGCCCTCCTACCCTCGACTTTGCCTATTAATTGTTTCCGTTAATATCCCCTATTACTATTACTTTATTGTCACTCGGAATCGAGTATGACGACCATTCAGGGATAACACAATGCTAAGCGTTCTTAGTGATGTCACCTACAGTACATTGGTGAGTTCCGAGGTGGCTCATATTTCTGATATAGGATCGGCAGGATCGTCCGCAAAGGATGCATGTGTGGAGGGCTACTTCTAGCGCTGGAAGGGCGGCAGCATCGTCTTTCTGGCAATGGCACTGGATTTTATAAACTGTAGTAAATGTTTCAAAAAAATCTGGTTAATAATCTCTCTCTCTCTCTATATATATATATATATATATATATATATATATATATATATATATATATATATATATATATATAACAAAGAAGTATGCCTGTGTGTTTGTGTGTAATAATAATAATAATAATAATTAACGGTTTATTGAAAGAGCTTGGCAGCCAGAAGGCTGAAAATATACAGTTACATATTTGGGGAATGGGTTTCGAATTACAAATAATATACAAGTAATATAAGTGATACAAATAAGATATATAATAACTATATGGGGAAAAGCTCAAACTACAGCGCATTTCAACATAGTGACAGTGCAAGAAGTAGTGTTTACTGGGAGTGAATACACTGGTTTATTACAAGTTATTGATAATTTTTACAATGGTTGGGACTGGGCTGTTCTTATAGCGATCAGTTCGTGCACGTATGGGCTGGATGCGGTTGTGGTGTCGAACAGCAATTCTCGGGCTAGGGATCTCAGGTGGTAGTAGGAGCCGGTGTCGAGGATGGTGTAGAAGCGTCTTACCAAATTTGCAGATGAGGTCGTGGTGATGGTCAGTGAGAGTCGAAAGGGTCAGTGTGTTGAGCGCTTCTTGATATGTGGAGTAGGAAGAGGAGAGAATAATCTTGCATGCCCTCTTTTGCACTTTTTCTAGGTGTTTACGTTGTGTGGCATTTAGGGAGGAAGACCAGGTGGGGGAGGCATAGGTGAGCGTGGGAAGTATGAATGTTGTGTAAACACTGACTAGCTCGGGTGCAGGAATTCCGAAAGACTTGAGTCGGCGGAGGAGGTGAAGACGGAAACTGGAGGATTTGACAACTTCACTGACGTGTGGTTTCCAATTTAGTTTGTTGTCTATGGTGACGCCGAGGAGCTTCGTGGAATCTACAACCTGGAGTGTGTTCGGACCTAAAGTAATGGAAGGAAGTGGGACAATGTCGGAGAAGAGGTTGATGTGCATACCCATGGTCTTGGTATGGTTGATGGTGACATGGTTGTTGGTGGCCCAGTTTTGGAGACTGTTCAATAAATCCTGAAGGGCGGTATAGTTGGGAGCAGAATTGTTGACGCTGATCCCAATGGTGGAGTTGTCGACATATTTCCAGCGAGCAGGGGTTTCTCTTAGGGCATCATTGATGAGCATAAGGAAGCAGAGTGGTCCCATCTTGGTGCCTTAGGGGACGCCACAGGTGAGTGACTGAAAGGTGGAGACAGCCCCTCGGAAGCGTACAGCTTGGCGTCGGTCACTGAGGAAGTCTGTAAGCCATGGTATAAGACTTCTCCGAAGCCCGAGGTCAATAGCTTTGTTGATGATTATATTGTGGTCGACTAGGTCGAATGCTTTAGTGAAATCAATGAAGGCGACAGCTACAGACGTTTTTCGTTTCTCGAGATGGCTGTATATGTAATCGAGAAAGCTGACAAGACAGTGAGTGGTGGAGGAAGTTTTCATGTTGCCAAATTGCTGAGGGTCTACGACTCCTGCAATATCAGCATAAGCCCAGTCGAACACAAAACTTTCACAGATTAGGCTGGGTATTGGGGTGATTGCGTGTGTTTGTGTGTGTGTGTGTGTGTATGTCCGCACGAGAATCTCGGAAACTACTTTACCGATCTGTAGTGATGATGGATGGTGTTATATGTAGTGATGATGGTTGATGTTATATGTAGTGATGATGGATGTTGTTATATGTAGTGATGATGGGTGGTGTTATATGTAGTGATGAATGATGTTATATGTAGTGATGATGGATGATGTTATATGTAGTGATGATGGATGTTGGTATATGTAGTGATGATGGATGGTGTTATATGTAGTGATGATGGATGATGTTATATGTAGTGATGATGGATGTTGCTATATGTAGTGATAATGGGTGGTGTTATATGTAGTGATGATGGATGATGTTATATGTAGTGATGATGGGTGTTGTTATATGTAGTGATGATGGATGGTATTATATGTAGTGATGATGGATGGTGTTATATGTAGTGATGATGGATGATGTTATATGTAGTGATGATGGGTGGTGTTATATGTAGTGATGATGGATGGTGTTATATGTAGTGATGTTTAGACAATAAAATAATAACAGTCTAATGCTAAAAAAAATGCTTTGCTGTACCGTTGTAGTGGAACTTACATACACCGTTAATGAAATATTGGTGGAAGAAGAAGTTTTGGGGAGTGAACAGTGAGATAATGTGGAGCCTCCCGGAGGGTGGCGTCCTACCGTGGCCTAGTGAATCAGCCGCCCGGACCAAACTTGGCATGGATAGCAAATGTTTCCTTGCTTCTCTCATGGACAGTTCTATGTTGGATGCTCCAGAGTGGGAACTGGCAAAAATCTGTACATACTTGCTGCTAATGGCAAAACCAAAAATGTGGTCTATCCTAATGCACTACAGTGAGACAATGTGGAGCCTCCCGGAGGGTGGCGTCCTACCGTGTGTGTCCGCACAAGAAACTCGGAAACTACTTTACCGATCTGTAGTGATGATGGATGGTGTTATATGTAGTGATGAATGATGGTGTTATATGTAGTGATGATGGATAATGTTATATGTAGTGATGATGGATATTTTTATATGTAGTGATGATGGGTGGTGTTATATGTAGTGATGATGGGTGGTGTTATATGTAGTGATGATTAGACAATAAATAATAACAGTTTAATGCAAAAAAATATACTTTGCTGTAACGTTGCAGTGAAAAACATGGTGGAACTTACATACACCGTTAATGAACTATTGGTGGAAGAAGAAGTTTTGGGGACTGAACAGTGAGACAATGTGGGCCTCCCGAAAGGTGGCGTCCTACGTTACCTAGCGGATGAGCCGTCCAGAGGGCGGCGATTCTGCTAGTGTGAAATTAATAAAAGTTATGTTAATTATTTTGACTTTGAAGGAGAGAATTTCCCTTCTTTCTTGTTATTTTGTTTAACGATAGTACCAGTATATTCTTATTATTTACATATTACGATGCTAGTGTTTCTCTTTTAACGCATTAGCTCAGAATTCACGAGTCCAGTTCCTGCGTAGGCTTCCCAAGGGTAATGTTGTGAATCGAGTGTTTAACTTCGACGAAAGCTCAAGATTTTCCTGGAAGTGCAAGGCAAGAATGATTTATTGATCACTTCTATGAGATTTTGAGGGAGACACATCTTGCATACAAAGTAGATATATTTGCGTAGCTAAACAAGTTGAATCTCAAGTTACAAGGCAAGGGAACGAATATGTTCCAACTCATGGGTTGTCTCCTTGCGTTTCTTATCAAAGCTCC